AAAATCAATTAATTAATTAAATTATTAATCGATTAGCTATTTATGTTAATGCAATAAATAACCAAGTATCCTAATTATTTGATTATAATTGCTAATGTATTTATTTAATTAATCATATTAATTAATTAAATAATTGCTTTAAATCGCCTACATTGTTCAATCAGCAAAAGTTATCTTTCCACCAGTCGTATGGTGATTAGGCTCCTATGGCCTCTGACCCACTTAATTGTAATTATTTAAAGTAATTATTAATTGATTAGCTAAATATTTAACTTTCTCCAATTGGGTAGAGACTATAATAAATTTTTTGCTTTTAATCTCCTTCCTTTTTCAAGCAGTGCAATTTATCTTCCCAAATATCAATTGATCATTTGATTATTATATTCTTTCACCCTCTCACTCAGGACGTTTATGTTTCGCGATTTTGCCGCTTAAATGGTCTCCAATTTGGGTGAAACATTTTCAGCAAGTTCGTGGGCCATGGGCCAAATGAAACGTTTTTCCTTCTTACAGTCGAGTAGGCGGCTTGGCAACAATGAGGATTGCTTGACTGATTGAAAATCTACCTTCTTCGCTCCCTTGGCCGGGCGTTAAACAGGAGTGAGTTGGTCTGCCGTGCTGTGGGGCAACGGGAAACGGCGGCCCGCTTGTTGCCGGGTGGCCGAGGCTCGGAGTCATGTGAGCCGACGGTGGTACTGCCCGTCCCACGGCGCGGGGATAGCCGGACACGAAGGCGGCGCCGACAACTCTGGAGCCGGGGGGGGTGAGGCCAAGACTTGGCGTGGCGCTGTGTCCGAGGCTGGGGCAGATCTGCTCCGTGACTGGCAGCACCGTGCCGCTGATCCGGCGCTTGGCAACTCCGCCTCGAGCCGAGGACAGAAGTGTCGTCGGGTTGGCCAACGGCCTGGGGGGGAAGCAAGCGTTGGCTGTCTGCGATAGCGACGCACGAGGCTGATGCACCTGCAACTGGACATGGCCGAGGGCGTCGAGATTGTGTTGAAGGGTCGCCGGGTCGTCGGACAACCCGCGGACAGAAGGCGGGCAGACGAGCGCTGGGCTGGTCGGGTCGACGGCAGATGAGCCGAGCGCGGCAGTCGGAGGCCAGTTGGGACTCGAGTTGGCGCCGGAAGCCGTGTCGGTTGGATGCGATGCCTGGCGTAGGGCCTCGGTCAGGTTGCAGCTGCGAACCGGCGACGACGGGCCTGAACGATGACAGAAAGATCAGTTTTGTTCATTGCATTTGCGACATACCAAAAGCAGGCTCAACCACGATTTCACGCAAACTTGTGCTACCCTCTTCTTGTCGGTCAACTCGGCTCAATGTTGTGGATAGTTTTGGGTTACGCAATAAAGGCTATAATAAACTTATTCGTACGTCGTCCTCTCCAGAAGACACCGAATGCTTTCCGTTGTTGTATTCATCCGAATTCGGCTCTATTGCAAGACACCATCACTTAATTCGGAGGAAGAAGCTTTCGATTTAAACCATTCAACTATATTCTATATAATCTATATACATATATATACATATATACATATCTATACATATATATATATATATAGGGAGTTGATTGAAGTAGTTTACTGACTGAAAGTCCTGAATCGGATCAAAATTGTAGAAAATCACTAAACTTACATAAAATGGCACACCTCGAATATATTAAAGAGATAAGTTGTGAGGTAAAAAGAGTGGGACACGAGGATGGTGCATCTGTACGAGGACGGAGTGATGTGACTAACATTAACCAGAAATTGGATAAACTGATGTATTTCCCTTGTCTCTTTGACAAGTCGTAGCTGGGCAGGAGATCGGTGAATCTCTATGTCTCTGCCGAATGCGTATAGGAATGTACCAACTGCGAGATCATGACTACGCCTGTAGTTTTGATAAATGTCGCGCTCACAACAAGACAAATTAAATTTTTTCTGTTCTGGAGTACTGAAGATACATAAAAAGGGCCAGCATGAAGGCTTCTCTGCACATTGACTCCGATCAGTCGGAATAATTCCCTAAAAAATCTCACCTTTTAGAAAGACAGCCAGGACATGTTTGTGTGTTGAGCTTACTTCCATTTCGAGTGAACATTTCCGATAAGGACAGTCCAACTTGGCTTTTCGGTGAATAACTAACCAGATAATGGTATGCTTAATTAAGACAAGATTCCAGCTGGATTTAGAGTTTAGATGAAATGTATTATAAATAATTTTTTTGGCTGCGACGAAGTCTGCTACGACGTAACAGATGAAAGCTGAGCACTGAAGCGTTGGGGTCGCACGATAGTAGACACACGCACACCAGCGATCAATTTTCATCTGTCATGCCGTAACAGACTTTGTCGCAGCAATAAACAATTATTTAGAATACATATTATAAAAACTGTAAATCCAGCTGGAATCCTAATTACTGTTTATACACAATTTTGCTGTCTTAATTAAGCATTTCATCATCTGGTTAGTTATTCACCAATCCACGGATTACCGCCAACCAACTTTCCTTCGAGACGAAAAGTTAGGTCACATTAAGAGATTAAGGAATTCTTCGAGGACTAGCTTTTCTTCTTGCATTTGATGCTGATGCATCTTCTGGGCTTCTGATTTCATGTGCGTTGTGTGTCTACAATCCTAATGCATCAGCTTAGGCAAGCCTGCACTCTATCTCTCTCCCTCTA